TGAACTAAAACTAGGAAAATGGATTCCATTAGTCCACCACTGCAGATGCTGCAGTATCTTTAAGAACTGACCTTGCTCCTCCACACTGAGACTTTTTTTCATGTATTAGAAAGAAAGATAACTGATTAAAGATCGCTGAGCTCCTCCACTACTTTTCTTTTAAATGTTTGTGTCTCATAACAGTACTAGTGAGAGTGTCTGTTTTTATGGCTCTAAACTGGAACTCACTGCCTAGTATTAGTATTAATTCCCTTAGGGATTTTACTCCAGTTAGGAGCTGAGTACACACATAACCTACTTGCGCAGTAATATTACTCGCCATGCAACAAAATAAAACTAACCATAATTAGTACAACAGTAAGAATTTATATATACAGTTAAACCACCACCAAAGTTCAAATACAAGTAGTTTTTGAGCGCGAACCATCGTGCGTTTTTGTCCAACACGCCCTACTTGATAAAATGAAAAAACACAACAACTCCAAATCAAAACAGATCTTGTATATATATATTTCAATTGTGTAATCTGGAAAGGAAATCTATGTTTTGGAAATGTGTATATCTGTCTGTTCGACTGTCTCACAAAACATCATGGATTTATCTTAGTCGCGGCTGAATGGCATGGACTGCGATGTGTGTAATTAGCAGTGAACTAGCAGTGACAGACATGGGAACGAAGGGTCTCTGGACTGGTCTTCTTTCTGTCACTGACCCAGACTATCTGCCAGAAATCATACATCAATAAGCATTACAAACCCAAACATCCTGAGACGCGCAAGCATAGCAAAAACAGCAAAGCGTGCCATCTTTTCAAATGTGAATGTAAGCCATTTTCACAAATCACAACATTTTCATTAATTGATTTATTGTTTGGCTATGAGAGTCTGGCGTCCTGGCTCCAACTAGCCTCCCTATTCAATAAAATACCAGAGGAAAGACAAGTTAACACTTGACGCAACCGGAAACAAATTGCAGTAAGGGCATGTTAAATTAATAACTATACACTGAAATACGAATTAATAAACTTTATGTTGGAGGCATCATTTCCGCATGGTGTTAATGATCTTAATGATGCAATTCTAAACTTTGATATCCAGGCACTTTGTATAGAAATCTGTTTTGAGTGGTGGAACAAGTTATTTACCTGATGGCTTGATAATGGTTATTGAAGTATCGGATAATGATGAGCTGACCCAGATAAATGTGGCTTAAAGGTGTGCATGACATTTAGGAGATCTTTCAGCACCTAAGAAAACCATACGCTAGGATATTATTTTCATTTCGTGACACGGATCCTCTAAAATGTTTCCACACTGGGCCCCTCTATAGTTGGATGCTGAAAACGTTACGCCTGCTAGACGGGCGAGAGTTGAGACGTGTTCTCAAGGTGGTAAGTCCAGTCATCATAGGAGCTGACTGTACTGGCTACGAATGTCCATCCCATACCGTCCGGCCCTCAAGGCATCTGACAGAACTACAAGATGGAGGGCACATTAGTAGAATGATTGATTATGTAGATAAGAATAATATATAATATATTATAATAATAC